CTACTTAGGAAATGACACTACAAACGTCCAAAAACCCTGCTTTGTGCGATTTTTGTCACATTTCCGCCTAATGTTTGCTAGATATACCAATAATTGTTTATTACATCACTATTATTAACAGTTATCATTGGTGTTGCACCTTATTCCTTATTACATTTAACTGATGTCTTACTGTATAAGTTTTGCGTTTTCTGTCTGGACTCCAAAATGTTAGTTTATGCTATGAAGTGATAACACATTAAGTAGAAAAATTTTTTAGCAAACTATCATGAATTTTTCAGGCTTTACGTTATTAACTTATCAATGTTTTGTGGCTTTTGTATTTATTTATTTATATATTTACCAACGGATTTTATAAAATTTTACAGTTTGATTACAAGTTGTTAATTGCTCATTATGACCTAATATTATATAGGCCTAAATAATAATAAGGAGAGGTATATCAAAAGTACTTAACAATAATAAGAATGCAGTACATGCAAATACTTGGACAATGAAAGAACTAAGGGTAAATAGAAATAAATACATAGTTGAATTGAAAATATGTATAGGCCTACAGTAAATGGGACATGGACCAACCTAGAAAACAATAAATAATAAAAATAACAATAACCATGATTTATATTTTGTGAAAACAATAAATAACATTAATAACAATATTGTAAGTTATTACCTATCTAAATCGTCTATTGTACTTTGTTTCATAAAGCATGCCTTCATTTCAACACAATTTCGAGTCATCTTCGGATTAAGCAAAGCGAATATAAATTGTCATTACAAAAGGCATTATCACTGCACGATTAGTAGGCCTAAATATCATAATCATAAAATTTGACGACACTATCAACAATTTCAAATACTAATTTTGTATGTAACTTTGCTTTTGTTAAAGTGTAGCAAATTCCCCAATTCAATTCTGTATTTTTGTGTGTCTGTCGGTTGGTAATGCATTAATGTCATTATTTCTCAGTGTTTCTGGAAAAGACAAGAGCAACTTTATGTTAATGAAAATTTCAACCGGAATAAAGTGTGCAGTGGTGAGGTTGAGGTAGTATTTTAAATACTTTTAACTTAGGGCTATGCCACATGGATCTATAAAACAATTTTTTTTATCATTGGATATAAACTATGGACTAACATGATCGGGTGACATTTAATTGTGAAGCATTTGTTTTGGCTTGAAACTTTCAGATATTGCATTTGCGAAGGATTATATGTATTCCTATACAGTAATTGTAATTGTGCCAGCATATCTGGAAAAAAGCACACTAAATATGTAAACCAACTCCTGCTCTGAATATAAGAAGGTTACAACCAACGATCACATAAGACCAATAGATGGAGCACGCCTATCTAACTAACATTAAAGCAGGTGAAGCTAGGTCCGCCATCTTACTGTAGGTTAAAAGCGCTAGATGTCGATGAAAACAGCACCAAAACTCAATGTTCCGCTTCAAAATAACTCAACATTTAGCCTACTTAGACTTAAGTTATATGGTTGAAACTTTGTATGAGTGAAGTCAATAAGTCTAGGACACTATTGGTTTTATTTAAAATTAAAAGCTTAAAAGTTAGTATTTTCTATTTTAAATATTCATATAAAGTCGAAACTTTTAAATGAGTTTTAAAATATGACATAAAAAAATTTGGTGCGTGCTACTTTTTTATATCTTTTGGTCAGGTTAGTTAAAAAATGGCGGATTTTGCAGCTAAAGAGTTGAATCTTTTGGATCATATTTTTTTAAATTTTTAGCTGGTGTAGTTTGTTTGTAATTTAATATGTAATATAGGGCGCCGCGTTGCGTCATGCGGGCAGATTCTGCCTATAACCTCACTTGGAATACAGTTTAGATACTCAAGTTTGGAGCTATACAGAAAAGTTACTAAACTAATTTGAAAAACACGGAGTACATATAAATGTTCTTCATTTTATTTTTTGTATCCATCTAAAAATTATAATACAAAGGCGTATTGTCACGGATATCATTGATATAAACTAACATTTAATTAGTTGTGCCCGCTATTAGAGCTCATCACAGCCGGCAGCCGCCATCTTAGTAAAGAATAGTGAAAAATACTGGCTTCACGTCGCGGCCAAAATGCTCCATCTATTGGTCTTGTGTGATCGTTGGTTTCAACTTACTACAAGATCCCGTACGTAGAACGGGCACACAGCTAGTTACAAAATAAAACTTTTAATTCTATACCAAATTCGACTAATTCAAGGAAACGCATGCACATTATTAACATTTTACCGATTTGGTTGAAATTAAATCTTATTTAATAAAAAACTTTTGCAAAGTTTATGACATCTAGCCTGATCATACTACTGGACCGAATTACACGCGGGTTGTACCAAAAGAAAGGTTATTGATCCTATATTTGCAGGTTTTATTTGTATTTCGATAATATTTATTTTAATTGGTCAAAATGGAAATTCAACTTTTCTTATGGAGATTTAACATAAGGCCAAAATTTAAAGCTTACGACAGCCACCCTGACCATACTACTGGACCGATATACACACGAGTTGTACCAAAAGAAAGGTTATTAGTCCTATATGTGCAGGTTTTATTTGTTAGTGTACCTGTTGCTCGAATTTGAGCAGTTGCTAAGTAATACAGGTGTTATTTTAAAACAAATAACAGTCATAATTTCTGATGCCTTTTAAATGATTCAACTCAAAGATTATGAAAATACTCTAGATGTACATAAAAGATCGATATAATCAACATTTCTTGTAAATATCTTATCATTTTTCAAAAGCTGATCTTGTTTTTTAGTTTTTTCTACAAATAGCCTTACTTGTTGCCGCATTAGGTTGTACATAATAACGATTATAAATTCTAAAAAAAAAAACATTATTTCTATTTCTTCTTCTTGGCGGTGTTCTATGACCTTTCTATGACTATTCGTTGAAATTGTCTCTTTCAAATATTACTAAGAAATGCAGCACAGTGTTGATTCAGTTTTCTTTTTAATATATCAATTTATCCAGTACAGGCTCTCTCGCTTTTTCCATTGTAATATTTACGCCAACCAAATTCAAATAGTAAATATTTAATTTCTTCCAAGTGAGTAAATTTTTGTAGCAAACTGTTAAATTAGCAAACTTATTGACTGTTTACAATTAACATGTGTTCTTCTCATTTTTAATGTCTGACAACAGCTGGAGTTTCATAACAATTTTTGTTTCCCATGTTAATCTTATGGAGAAATACAAAACTTTAAAGGGCCCCAGGGCCCCATTCTCTAATTATTTTTCTAAAAACATAATAATTTCTAAGAAACATATCAATCGGTTCAGTAGTTTCGGAGGAGTAATTGTCACAAAAAACCTGCTTGCTTGTATTAAATAAGTATATACAGGGTGAGTTTCTACTAAGCGCGTTAATTTTTCATGAACATAGTTGAAAAATATTATAATTGTTTAGTGCTATGTTGGTGTTCACCAACGAAGTATCTGGATATGATTTTATTTTACGGGTCCTGTTCTCAAATGTGGCTGTAATCTGGTGTGAATTCAGTTGTTAGTTTCCTAATAGGCGACTTTCAAATGAACGAAGATTCATCAGTGTTCAAACGAGTTTCCATGAGCACTAAACATCGTTCTGTTGGGAACATGATACAAGATGTGTGTGTGTTTAAGAAGCTGTGTCAGATGTGTTGAAACGCGGGCATGAAATGCAAAAGTTTTTTACGTAATTTTACAAAACATCATATTAGTGTTAATAGTTGTAACACCACTTTGAAATTGTAAAGAAGTAATTTACAAACTTCTTTATTTATGTTATGTGAGACATGCAACGGTGAAAATATGGTTGTATGTTAAAGGTGTTGCAATGGTTTTGTAGGAAATTTAACGCTCTTTTCGTTGGTATAAGTTATTATGCTGTACGTGTATTGGCTTAATTTCTGTGCTCGTTTTAGTGAAGCTACTACAGGTAATTTTAAAAATTCACATAATATGCCATTACAGCATAACGGGTGGGGTTGGAAAATTTTTGTTTGGCATTTTTTGTTCCTTTTAGTAAGTAGAACAACTGGTAAAAATTAACACGCTAAGTAGAAACTCACCCTGTATAGATATAGATATAGATTTTGAGAATATTTAGGTTAGTTGGGTCAAACATGAAAATTAAACTTTTTTATGGAGATTTAACATGGGACTAATTCTATATAATTAAACAAGCATGTTTATTGAAAATATTTTTTCTCAGCTCCTGTGCATCGCAGGGAAATATTAATTTAAAATTAAAAAAAAATTAACATGTGTTGCCATGTTGGTGTCGAAAACAAGAATATATAAACATAAAATCAAAACAAATTGAAGAAATTCCAATCACATGTTTTATTTACGGCGTGGGGCGAAAATAGAGAAGTTTGCACAGTACATACTTTTGGTCGAAATTTTGACCACGGGCCAGCTCTAGTTTCTCCTATAAGGCCTACATAAAATAATGCCCACCTTTAGTTCTTGGCACCGCTAGCTTCCAAAGTGTCCATATTAAGCTATCAGTCAAAGCCAATCAAATATTAGCCTAAACGGTGGGCTGCTTCCTGCCTTTTGCCACATTTCCTACAAAAGAGCCTTTGAATTGATCTCCAAAGTGTGTTTGAAATCCCCATTTGCTAGTTAGAATCCCAACCACTTGACTTAGTCCAAGTTTACAGAAAGCATATTGATGCTATCGCATCACATGGTAGTCTACCTGTGTAATCAGCTTAACCGTCATGTATCCTCCTGTTATGTTTCAGTGCACGATCGTAGCAGCGGCCGTGCAATGCTCATTTCGGCGGAAACATACCAGTCTGACTATTCTCCACTCCATAAGCATTTAGCTTCATAAAGGTTTTTTTGTGCATTGGTAAAACTATTACAATCAAGAATGTGGGCCACGAGTGACCAGGAAATATGCTGTCACTTGTTTTTTTTATTCAGAGAAAAGTCTGTGAATTGTCAGGTGTCTAAAATTAAACTAAGTCCCCTTTCATTTTAGATGGACGATAACAAAAAGAAGCGATTGTGTACTGCAATCTTTAAAGAAAAAATCAATTCTATTGCAAAAGATTTGGAGGATACCAGGATGGATATTTATCGCAAGAGGAATAGAGAGTTTGAACTACTCGGACATGCTCAAGATGAAGAACAGCTGAGAGCTCGAATGAGTGGGTACCCGGATCTGGGCCGGCTGCATAGTTACCATTTGAATGTAAGTAGTTATTGTTAGGGTTTGATACAAACATCTAAAATCAAAATATTTCTACTTTTGGCGATTTAGGACCGTCAAAGAGTTTGGGTTACTGAGAGAGTAAATTTTAAAGGATATAACCATTGACTTCATCATATTGGAATTCTATTGGTGTAAAAATATACTGCTATTACAACACTTATTGGTTGAACCTTGTCAAAATTAAACTTAGTTCATTATCAACCTAATAACAAATTAATTGACAACCATATTTATTGAATGAATAGCCATTTTTATAATAATGGGAATGATGTCATTATTAGGGATGAGCATAGATAGGTGAACCATTGATGTTCACCATTGATAATAACATCGACATCAACAATCGATGTACTGATAACATCGTTGCGAAAACATTGATGTTTTTGGTACTGAAATATCAATGTATTTCAATGTTTTTTCAGTGTTTTGTCTGCATTTGTACTCTCCAGGAATGGAAAACATTGATATCTCAATACATGGCCAAAAACATTGATGTTTGACAAAAAAACATCAATGTAACAAAATCAACATCAGTAACCTACCATCGATGTAAAAAACATCAAACATCAATAGAAAAACATAGATGTTTCGAAAACGATTCAAAAAATTGGTTTAGGATCGATGCTCATCCCTAGTCGTTATTGTGAAGTGAGAAGCTGAATAAATATTAGTACATTCATTCATTTTCCTTCTCTTAGCAGCGGTTCATTCAGTGATGAGTCACCCAGTAGCAACCCTGATGCACTTTTAACTTTTTTGTGTCACAGAATATTGATTTCCCTTTCAGACCCAGGTGGACTCTAATTTTGAAAAATTGTCTTTAGATTAGTTTTATGGTTTATGAAGTAAAAACCTAATGTTCATATTTGTGGACATGTTTCTAAAAGAAAAACGTTTACCAAAATCATCCAATAAATCGGTCCTCAGGATTGACTCGAAACTTACCTCACTCGCCTATGGCTTGTGCGTAAGCATTTCTCTCGTGTGCAGCAAAGTGCCACTTCTCATACTAGTTACACAATTAACTATTACATTACATAACATTTTCTGTTAAAATGTTTATTTTTCAGCATTTCTAAGTTTAATTCCTCTGATTTGAGCCATCTCCCATGATTCTACAACTAACTTATCATACGCTTAACAATAATTTACTATACACAAATTTGAAAATTGCACAGTAAAAATAATTTATTTTATTAAGACATAACAGGGTGTCCACATTCTGGGAAGTCAGGGATAGTCATGGAAAGTCATGGACAAAAATTCTGGTAATTGAAAGTCATGGAAATAGGCAACAAGTCATGGATAGCCCCAATGATGGATGTATTTGAGGGGACTTTTCTATGCTCTAGTCGGCTGTAACCCCGACTATTGTAGTATTTTTCAGGATATTTCACAAATATACAACAATTAAATTTATCACAGTTGTGTTGGTGTATGAGTTTGGGTTTGTATTAGTTCATTGATGTACTTATTTACTCCATTGTTATCTGTTAATGTATTTGTTCATTTATGTATTAATTAAAACTATTTTAATTAAATAATCAATTCAAAACAAGATAGTGTTTATTCTAAGAAATCATAACATAAGATAATCAACAACTAGAGATCAGCTGGTTATAGCAATACCAACATCTCCCTCTTTAACTTTTTAATGGACGAATAAATCTTCTATTGCGTCTGAATAATCTTCCTTCAATTGATACTAGGTAAGTTCTCAACCCATCTAGTGACACTATTACGCCAGGCGTCCATGGTTCTGCTTTCATGTCTGGTCTCTTCTGTATCAATACCTTTTGTCCAACTTTAAGTGGGTCCAATGCCTGAGTGCCTTTATCATAGTGCGTCTTGTATTTTTCTTGTTTTTCCTTCAACTTGTATGTGACTCCTATGTGTATTTTTGGATTTAGTTTCATTTCTGTTATGGGCAAACGAGTCTTTGTTGATCTTGACATTAGAAACTGCACAGGACTTGCACCCAAGTAAGCCAGTGGTGTATTTCTCCACTCTAATAGAGCTGCTTGAAAGTCTTCTTTACTTTCTTTTACCTTCTTTAACATTCTCTTTGCAATTTTAACTGCTGATTCTGCCTTACCATTGGATTGGTGATAATGCGGTGAAGAAACAACAATTTTAAACATCCAAGTCTGGACAAAAAGCTTGAAGTCTTGGCTAACAAGTTGAGTACCACTGTCAGAAACAACAACGTCTGGTATTCCGTAATGAGCAAACTGTTCTTTACAAAACTGTATCAGGCCTTCTGTTTTTAGTGAATTCACTTTCTTCAGTTAAAAAAATGATGAAAAGTAATCTGTTATTATAAGAAAGTGGTCACTGCCCAGCTGGAAGAAGTCAATTCCAACTCTTTGCCATGCTCTTGTTGGAGTATTATGAGGCTGTAAGGTTAATTAGCAACACCAAAAGGTAGTCTAGTCCAACGAAATCTGCCTTTGGGGGTCCAAAACGTAGTTAGCCTGCTTGATTTCTCATTTAGCTTTACATGCCAAAACCCATCCTTAAGGTCCAGAACACTAAAGAACTTTGCTCCATATAGTTGTGGAGCTATTTCCTCAATAGCTGGTGCTTGATAACGAGATCTTTTAATGGCTTTATTAAGGTGAAAAGGATCTATACAAAGTCGTATCTTGTTAGGTTTCATCACTACTACTAAACTACTGACCCAATCAGTAGGCTCTGTTACCTCGACGATGACTCCGAGCTGTTTAAGTCTATCTAATTCAGCACATATTTCTTTCTTCAATGCTAGAGGTTGTCGCCTGAATGCTGCTATTGAAGGTGGTACCGACGGGTCAGTTCTTATGCTGCAAAGACTTTCAAAACTACCTAATCATTCAAATACAGTAGGAAATTTTTCAAATATCGTATGTTGATGAGTGGCCATTTGGTTAGATACTGTGAGAGCCTGGAAATCCTCTTCATCTGTCGTAATCAAGCCTAGTCGAAGACAATCTGCTGCTCCTATAAGAGGATTTCTCTCAGAATTCAGGATTTCAAACTTTAAATCAAAAATATTCTTTTTGAATTTTGCTATAAGCACAATGCTGCCTAGTGAGTTTTGGGATGACCCGCCATAGAAACACAAAGTAGTGGAGCTACTATTAAGTTTAGGATTCACATTGTCAAGAATAGTTTTTAGATCTCGTAGCCCCATAACGTTACAAGTTGCACCTGAGTCAAGCTGGAACTTTCTGAGCTTTTTGTTGACAATCATTTTTACAAAAAGTCGTTTTTTATACTGGATATCGTTAAGTTCCATCACTTCCTCTTCGCTTTGGCTATCTGGATTTGCTTCACTGTCATTATCTTGGACCAAATTAACTTTACCGGAACTTCAACACACGCTGCTGAAATGGTTCTTCCTTTTACAGGTGGTGCAAACTTTGCCAAACGCAGGGCAGTTTTTTGCTCCCTTAATAAGGTTTTTACCACAAAAACGACACTTTTATTTGTTATCTAAGTGTCTACTCTTTGCTTGAAAAGCCGCATCTTCTGATTTCACTGTCATTTTTGTAACAAACCTTTCAGTTGTTTCATGATGCATACATATTTCTATAGCCTCATCAAGTTTTAGGTCTTTTCTACGCTAAAGTGTTCTTTTTAATTCAGTATTGGTTATACCTACAACAAGTTGGTCGCAAATTAGAGTAGATCTTCAAGGCCTGCCTTGTCGAGATTTTCTAAAGAATCAATGTCACACAATCGTATTTGCTCTTTTAGACGACCTATTAAGTCTTTAATCGTTTCATCAGTCTTTTGAACAATGCCATTAAAAATAAATCTCTCATACAAAGAATTATCTGTCCCTAAAAAATACTTATCCAAAGCTTCAATTACCTGATCCAGGTTTGATTCATTGGAGCCAAGTATTCTTTCAAACAAACATAGTCCATCACGGCCAATTACTGTTGAAAACATGGCCATCTTCAGTTTAGGTGTACTTAACCTTGTACCACCTAATGCTCCTGCTTCAGCTAATATCAAATAGTTCTTCCATTGTTTCTTGAACACTTCCCAGTTTTCTCGTACTCGCGATGGGTCACTTAAGTCCAGTGGATTCGGTACTACTGACACCATGTTCATTTATGTATTAATTAAAACTATTTTAATTAATTAATCAATTCGAATCAAGATAGTGTTTATTTTAAGAAATCATAACATAAGATAATCAACCACTAGAGATCAGCTGGTTATAGCAATACCAAAAGTATTTTCTGTGAAATAACTTGTTTAGGTAGTATTATTCGTAAGTGTATGTTATACTATAATTTTCAAGTAAATTTGTGAGTCATGGAAATCAATGGTAAATAGTCATGGAAAGTCAAGGAAATTAACGACAAATTTTCTGTCGACACCCTGCATAAAGAAAAAGTCTCAATTATATGTAACACTATCCCTGGTTTTTTATAGTATACAGTACATTGTAGCATTTACTGTCAAATAAGTAATCCAAACGTTAGTATTGCGTACTGGCTTGATGATAAATCATGATCAGCTGTATTAAAGTAAACAAAGATCAGCAGCGGTAAATAGCTTCTAAAGCTATTCTTATAGAGAACATTTTACGTTATATCTAATTTTGTTTTAGAATTTTAGTACCTAATTTCACAATTTTTCCTGCCATCGTGGAATAGAGACCTTTTATTTGAGAAATCTTCCGTCGTTCTGAAAAAAAACCTGCAGACTAAATAGTATTATCATTTATCTGATAGAATTTTTGCTAAAACACTTCCTTTGACTTACTAGATTTATTCACTATTTAAATAACATTAGATTTAACAAGGACTTGGGGTGTGTCTCTCTAGACAATTTTGAAGAGCTTAAAAAAAATTGTATCTAGCCTATTAAAGTTTTTTTGTACGCTTATTGGTTATGGAGAAAATTCAAAAAAATTTAAATTTAAAATTCCCTACCTTAGTTTACTTGAAGGTCTATGATCCAGACACCAATTTAGTGTATAACGCCAAGGTAAATAAAATAAATTTTTTCCCCTCTTGAACAAAAAGTAACCCTACTGCTGTTCCAAAAATAGACGATTTTTCATTTTCTGTTAATATAATTATTACAAAGCATTTTTATTTTATTCGTCCATCACAAAAGGTCTGGTTGGCTGGTTTGTAAAGACATTTTTAATACACTCTGATTGAAAGATAAATTTAGGTTTTAGTGACTAACTTGTGTTAATATATATTTTCAGCAATGCAGATCAGTAAAAGAGCAGTTTGACTTGGAGCTGAAACGGATCGAAGAAATAACAGAAGCAAAAATACGCATTTTGAGAGATGCTGAAGAAGAGGTACTCTTATTTCAAAAATTTTACAAAGGTGTCGGTGCTCAAGATGACACTGAAATGTACTTGACGGAGATTCAAGTCCAAGAGTTAATGGAGACTGAAGAAATGCTTGAAAAGTATAAGGAAATGTACAATTAAGACGTAGTGTTGACTTTTATCTAAGCACAGAAACTGAATATTGTATAGTGTTAATGTGATGGACCAAATGATATGGTAACAGAAGCTCAAAGAATTTATTTAAATTCTATTGTGATATACAGTAGGAAGAGTGTTTGTTTCTTTTGTATGAAAAAGACGTTTGGTATTAGACTATGCCATTACCCTGTTTGTTTTAGGTTATTGATCAGAATATGGTCAATAAATAATTTGGGTAAACAAATTTAATTTTTTTAAGATAATGACTTTTTAAGACTATATCTGATGCTGCAACATAGTTTATGTGACCTCAACTAAAAAGATAACATCAAATTAGTCCTGAAAAATTATTTAAAACCTACTTAATTATTACTTTGCTTTTTCAACATTTCAATTATATTATGCCTGGTAAAAAATCAAGTTAAAACACATTGCCCCTTAATTATACTGAGAGTAAGAATCATAGAGTGGGAATGGATCATTCCCGCTCGCTAATCAGCTGATTTTACTGATGGTGTTTCTACACCAATCACACCCGCGGATCCCGTAGGTTAGTTAACAACAGGTAAGAAAATAACATAACCTTTAAAAAAATCAAACATAAGCATATTAGCTAACGTATTGCTTTCATCTGAATCCCTCACTTCAATGGATGTATGTAAAAAAATTTACCAAATCACCCAAGGTTGATAACTGACAGTAGTGTGGGATACCTTCCTTTTTTTATTAAGTGATACCCATTGTCTACAGAAAATCCTGGTTTATGGAAATTACCAAGAGCTAATCAACTTGAATCTTTACCATTATCTGCATTATAGTTTTAATAGGATTTGACTTTTGACAATTGCTCGCATAATACTGTATAGTAACAGTGGTTACTAGAAGACAGTACAAGCTACAATGTAAACTGATTAACTTACAATTTCAAAATGTAATTCTTTTTATTTAATATTTTTTTAGTAAACAATAAAATAAAAATATAGTGTAAAATTAACACATTTTAATCAAACAAGACATCTTGTTATTAGTGAACATTGCAAACATTGCAAATGTACTTAGTTGCAGTTTAAAACAATAAACGGTCACAGAACAAGTAATTAGATTGATATGTTTAAAATATGTATCTCTATTGTCAGTTCAATTATTGTTAGTTTCCTAAAAAAGGGATAAATTGTATCCTCTATTGATGGGTACCCAATTTAAACTTAAGTAAAAATAATTATTTAGGATCAGAACTGGTCATATGTAGCACTTAGCATTTATGTTACCTAGCCTATTTTTGTACCATTAGCATTTTTTGTGTCTTATGCGGGGTTTTTATAGTTCATTGTTTAAATTTATAACTATTGAAATGTTAAATATAGTTGTTATTGGAGTCTTACACAATATATTGGGTGAAAATATAGTAAAACAAATTTACTATCGGCTTAAAGGAAGTTTTAAAAATTACTCAATATCTTAAAACGTATGGCTTGTTTTAGTTATTTTTAATAAGAGCCATACCATTTAAATTAAACTTAAAATAGTTTCCTCTAATACAAGGCTGCACCAAACATTGTGGCAACACCGCACTTGCCATAGTCTTGACAGTAATAACAAACGTGTAAACATAAGCATTGCACACATACTCCATACGTAATGTGATACAGCTCTCTCAGTAGGCCGGGACTGTGACGTTGCCAGTTAAGCCTCGCTGCGGCCTAGTACTAGAGGAGGCTATGATAATTGCATAAATTTTAATTCAGTTATAGACTACTTAATCTATTGCAATGTGAACTTGAAATACACTTTGTGTATATAATCAATTTAACCTCACTGTAAACACTAACCGTATGAAAACTATATTAACTATTCCAAACCAGACAGACATATTTTTTTCAGACATATCTTGTATGCTATCTTTAAGTTTCTTGTTTTAATAATTTTTCCTTTGATTTAGCATATTTATTAAATTAAATGTCCAGGTAAACATTTGTAACTTGTGACTTAGGGCCTACTCAGCCAACTTACAAAAATATTATTAAGTAAGGCCTAATTCGTAGTCAGCAAACTTTAAAATGTCTTACTAATATAAAGAAGAAGAGGTCCCATTCTAGTAGCCTACTTCTACTAGGCTATAATGTTGGCCGAACAATATCTTTTATTTTCTTCCAAACTGATGATTTTGATGTGAAACCTAGTTTTAGGTAGCATATAGAGCTATGTCAAGTGTCGAATGTTAACAAATTTTCTGCTTTATTGTAACTTTTTGGCTCAAATTTGACTTACTGACTCAAATTGGTGATTTTATCGTGATATACTCTGAATTATTCCAAACATAAAATAAATTATTTTTTGAATCTTGAGAGTTTTAACGGTTTTTATTCAATGTATAATATGTTATTCTCTCACTTATAGACTAAACGGGTCTAATTTAATTGTACTTAGTTACTAAAAGGTAGCCTACTTTGAGCTAACAATCTTAACCGTCGTCGTAAAGGATCGGACCAGGCCAGACTCTTAAGTTTTAAAGCTCCGCAACAATAAATAGTTCTTTTTTACTCTAGGGAAATTATAAACTCTTAAGATTTATATAAAAAAAATAACACAAAACCGCAGCTTTACAGCTACTTGTAAGTTACTCTTAAAAAAACTATGCTTTAATAATTCTTATCAAATGGCGACCATACAAAGTAGGTATTTTAAGCCAAGTATGAATGGAAATGAGTGGCGCGATCTTGTAGTCTTGTTAGTGACTTGTTTGTTATGCTCCTGAAAAAAAAAACTATGAACACATTTAACATATTGGTAACGTACAGTACATAACTATGAGGCAAAGTAGGACTAGGTCCTAGAACATCCCCATTTGGCTCATTTCCCACTGAAACGTCAAATTAACTATTGACTTTTTTGTGTTTAATACTTCTTAATTCAATACTATTATAATTTAAAATTCAGTATGGTCCCTGCTTAGTTTTGGAAAACTACTACAAGTCATAAAAAAAGGAAAAATTTACATGCTAGTTTAGTGGTTCATAGTAGGCTTATAAATCATTGAGATTTACCCTTGAAAAATGTGCCGGCAAATCATAACTTCCTTACACTTTATTGTTCTATTTTAAATGTTTCTAGAAACCTAAAAAGTTTTACACATTAATTTTTTTATAGATCCCCTTATATTAATCACATTTTCTATTTATTCTCCCGTATTGTCTGACAGTAAGCTTAGTCATATGAAGTACAAAATCCATATAGCTATAATAGAAGTTAACCACTATTTTCAATTGATAAAAATATAACAAAATGAAGGCGGTTAAGATAAGTGGCTGGTAAGGTACCAAAAACCACATTTTGATGACTGTAAATAGGTAGTGTTAGCATTTATTTTTTATAGTAGTTTGTTAATGTTTTGTTAAGTTTGTATTTTTTAAACCTGAGTAAACGTAGATGGTTTTAAGTGCAGTAAGTACCTGTTGTGTAGATAAAATGTTAGTTGACATTAATGTATTTTTGATACATTTTCAGAGGGTTTGCATTTGCAGGCTTAAGGTTGGATACATCCTACCAAATGTGTTTGCCAAAATATTTCCAGTAGGCCTACTCAGAAATCCAACCCATTAAATTTCATTGTGAATGACATAAATAAAATGGCAATTCATTAAAAATAATTTAATTTATGTTCCTCGTATAATAAGTTGTCAAGCAAAAATCGTATTACTGTATGCACTTTCAAATTCTTTTTTAGTGAAGAAATGTGCAAAAAATAACAAACAGGATAAATTAACAATGTTGCTATGTTTATATGTTTTATTTATAGCAAAAATTCTAAATAAAATAATTTAATGTGCCATGAAAAAGAGGAAGTATGTAAGTTACTCTATTGGCCAAAATTACCGCGTTATAAATATGCCACCCAAAACTAATTTAATTTAATTAAATTTAAATTTAATTAAATCTTTGAAACCGAATTTGATAAAAATAACAATGTAATCTTGATTTCTTTATTCTGACAGAATAGAGTAGGCCTACTTTCAATTCATCAACTTCCTACAGAGGTAAAAAATAATCTAAGAAATTAATTAGGTATTAAAAGGATGTAGGCTACATAAAACTAAAATGTTGTGCCTTATTTGCCTGTATTAGTATTGTAATAGTGATATAATACTGTTTGGGGAGTTCTATTATTCCAGTTTCTATACTTTTATATATTACTGGTTTATAATTAAAGGTAAATCATTAGAAGGTCTATACTTTCTTTATCCCTCATCTCTAGTTATTATGATTTTCTCTTAACACGTTCGCTGCTGGCGTTGTATTTTTACAACGTGCCTACCCGGCGCCAGGAGCTAGCGTTGTACATATACAACGCTGTGTCATTGTTGTTTAACGTTTCCATGGATCAGCCAGCTTGTCACGAGCGTCCTATATTTCTTTGCAGCTCGTGGGGACGTACTTTTCTGACAATAAAAAGTATAGTTTCCCAAAATCCCCACCAGGGTCGTTTAGAACAGGGCTTTGTCCCCACCTCTTTTCTGCTAGATAGCGACACTACTTTACCGACTGCAACCTGGGTAACGCTACTATCTATCAGAATCGCTTGGTACTATGTCCAAAGCCAGTTTTATTGCAGAACATTGCCATCCAGTATAACTACTGTTGTTTTTACTGTAAATCAGTGTGTCGGCAGCAATGTTTATGCAGCGATAAGCGTTAGTTCAGCTCCTGGCGCCGTCCCGGCATCTAGCTGTCAGCAGCGAACGTGTTAAAAAAGATTGTTGCATCTAACAAACAATACTTTTTCTAGGGATCAGTCTAGAAAAATGTTACATTTATTAGTTTGAAGACAATAGTTAGTTTTAAAACTTAAGTAATCTATGATTATACCTAAGTTATAAAGTGGTTTTATTTACCACCAAAGCATTTATTGGTAAAATAAGAAACTGTGTTATTAACAAAAATTTATTGGTGTAGATACCTGCTTTGTTGTAATTCAAATTAATTGATGCTATTTTTTAAATTAGATTCGTTTTCGTGTGTATGTGATTTGATGACCTTCTGATGAAATAATCATGACATCCTTTGCTGCCTGAAGATGACTTCTTGAAAGTTGATACTAGTTGCGGCATAGCAAAAATTTGGATTACATTGAAGCAGGTATTTACACCAATTCTTATATTCAATGTTATACGGAGGCTAACATCAAAATGAAAACATTTTAAAGTCCTTCCGAAAGGCCTCAATCATTGTCAAAGGAAAGCTTGGAAGTTAAGTATTTGAATACAAACTTGGTCAGGTCTCCTGGTTAACTTATGAGTGGACCAGTCTTTGGCATAACTAAAGCAGGGGTTAATTGACCTGATTTCGTTAGGCCTACACTAAACCCTGAAATTCTATGGCGAAAATCAGTGCTGCTGGTGATGTTTTTGGGAAGGTGACGAGGCAGGGAAGTCGGAATATTTTTCCAACCATAAAAGTGGGGACATTCTTAACTGTACTGTCTTTTCGATATGAGGCCTCACCATATTTAAAAAGGATTTGTTTCAAGTAAATGGAGAAAATCATGGGTGTCTTACTCAAGAAATTCTGGAGGGGTCTTGTTGCTCTGGTGAGCAGGTAGGAAAACATTCATAGGGAGATCGGGAACATGCGTTTGAAAACATGTGTAATCCCTGCTTTAGTGGGAGAGGCTTACCTAAAACTATATACCGTGTACATATGTCTCAGCTACAAAGGTTGACGAGATGGGAAGACTTTTGGCAAGTTTCTGATCTGGCATTGTGCTACCTTTGAACTAAATTCTACTATGTGTGTACAGTATTCACTGGTAAATTTTAATGAATGTTGTGTTTATAAAATGTGGAAAAATACAAAAATAGGTTAGGCATGTTGAAATTAAAAGTTAAACATACAAATCTAGTTTAGCAGTAATCGGTGGTGTAGTGGAGCAGGGACGGCGTTCCCACTCTGCTTTTTCCAAAGAACGAGAGAAAGATATTGGAAATAGGCGACCCATATTTTTTCTATGACATGTAATAATTGTAGCCTACAGAGGTCTGCGAGTTGTTTAATGCCTTTAGAAATCAATATTAACCTAATATAAGTTATTTTGAATAACCAAAGAAGGAAACAGGTTATTGGTAAGAATGCTTAAATACAAAACTTAAAAATCACAGGACTTTATTAATATGTAAAACACACTAATAACAACTAGTTCAAACATTCAGAGTTGCCTAGCTTAGCTGAAACTACCAACAAGAGCTTAGTTTCATCTCAAGTTAGGTATATAAGCCAGCTAAAGGGCTAAGTAATGGCAACTAATTAAATTGAAAATATAAAAAAAACTAATTTGAAACATAAAATAAACAACATGGGGCCTAACTTCTAACTAAGTTAAGAAGCCCAAGCTCTGGCATATTTAAACTTTCGCCCATTAAGGGCAACTTCTCTTATTTTAATGATTTGTAGTCTTCAATCTATTTAAATGGTAGGCCTACAGTTCTTTGAAAATACATCTAAAAATATAAGACACATAAAACATTGTTAAAACATCTAAGAATGGCTACATAACTGTCAGTTGAAGGTCTATTTCAAAGCTGATGCACCAGAAATTATTTCAATCAGCTCTTTGGTGATAACAGATTGCCGAGTTCGATTGTACGTCAGTCTTAGCTTGGAAATCATATCTCCTGCATTCTTAGTAGCATTGTCCATTGCAGTCATGCGAGAAGCTTGTTCGCTGCAAGAATTTTCTTTCAGTGAGTAATACAGAAGTGATACAAAGGAAAACTCGAGGAAGCTATCAAGAACATCGGATTCCAACGAATCGTATGCCACTGCATTTGGTGCACTGAAAATTTCAGCTTCAGTATACAATGGGATGTGAGAAACTTTGTAAGATGCTATATTGTGAAATTTATTGAAATATATTTTACCTTCTTCAAAAGAGAGCTTTAGATCAAGTATAGCCATTGCTGTTTTTGAAGCATCCAAAAAGTTTGGTGGAAGACGTCCAATATCATTTGCTGATAATATGACATTCTGTTTATAGGCAAACTGCATTAACGCTCTCATTTTGTCCCCAATGCAAACTATTTTAGTTTTCCCTGGACTGGTTCCTAGCTCGTTTTTAATTGCCTTAGAGATTTGGGTATGAACAGCACCACATAGTCCCCTGTCAGAACTAATAGCAATTACAAGTTTTTCTGCTGCAGTAGAAGTCTGTTCTTTTGATTTAGAAACTTGAGCTCTTTCAAAGAAAATCTGTGTTCCTTTCCCATGAGGTCTGGCACCTTCAAGTTCTCTTTCAGCACGAGCAAATTTAGCTGCTGATACCATTTTCATAGATTTTGTTATCTTTTGAATATTACTTACAGATTTTAGCCTTGAAGATATGAGTTTGAGTGTAGCCATGATAATGATACAAATACAACACTGACTTGGTCGTGCACCGAATTCTAAGACCAGCGTCCACTCTAGGATTATGCAAGAATAGTTTAGTATGTCTCAGCCCTTATCCGCCCTCAATACGTAACTTACCGGTACTTTTAGTAACACTTTTCTACACGTCACAGCAACGTATGTTATTATTTTAAAAACTGAACAGCCACATTCAAAGATTAGTTTGTCTTTTTCTGATTGTTTCAATTCAAGTTATATTATTTTCAATTCAATTGTTTTTGTTTACGTCAATCATATGCCGGCCGACTTTAAATGCCAACGCCGCCGCTAGACAGCGAACTGGAGGGAGAGAGTAAGCGCAAGCAGGATGAACAAATTACAGTATCTCTGACACCATTGATTATAATACAGTACTGTCACGGTCACCTTTAACTGTACCATAGATAAAACCACTTACATTCTAGCAGACTAATTGATTAATTTTATTGATTATTAATCATTGTAGCTGCTAGACTTTGGCAACATTTATGTTTATAATTTTAATTTATGTAGTTTTATAGAATAATAAAATTGAGTTTGAATTTGTTAAAATCACAACTTGTTTATATGTGCTTCGTGTTTGTGACGTTTTGAGTACGCTTATGCCAACTTCATGTTCGGGGGAATAGGAGATTATGAAGTAACTGGGGACTTTTTAGAGGCTATATGGAGGATCATTTACAAGCCATTTAAAAAAATCCTGATCTTTGCCTATACATCTTTATACAAATGTCCTTGTCCTATACTATTGTCCAACTCCATAAACCTTTAAAATCCCCAACCATTTCCCATTTTCAAAATCACGTGAGATTTGCATCAAAACTCGGCCGCGCTCCCGACCCTAGTAGGCAGTACCGCGGGCTCGCTTCTCGTCCCCAGCGGTAGAACCTCGCGAATCCGTCACCTACGGGACCGGGAACCGGGAGCATGGTCGGAACTTGGAACAACAAAAAGGTCGGATTATCAGAGGAACGAGTTTATTGACATAATACCCCCACCGTAGCAAACCTGCCGACTGGGCGAATTTCCGTATGCCTGAATTTATTTTCCATTAAATCTATTGAAATAACATTAGATTTAACGAGAAGGCCTACCTAGGTTTGCTGCTACAGGGAAACTAATAAAGTGTGTTTTAGTAAAATTAATATCTTAGTATAAAATAAATAAATTTACGAAGTTTGATCAAAATATATCCATAAACAAACAAACTACAGCATTTTAAAATATTCTCCATAAGAATAACATGGGAATTTTAAATTTACAATTTTTGAATTTTCCCCGTTACCAACAACCGTACAAAACACTTTCATACACTAAATTATTTGTTTTTTATGCTGTTGTTCGCGAATTCATTCAAGTTTATCCCGCCTTGCACCTTCAAACCACATATACATGTATACAAACTTTTACGAATAGTGTTTTTGGCCTTTTAGGGTCATCAAAATGAAAAAGTATATTGGTCCCGGCTCCATGTCTTACCGTGCCACCTACGGTAATAACTTCTTCCCTATAGGGGAATTCGCTAAAACTAGTGGGAGATTGCACTTTGACAGGCACTACAATAATAGCTAGTTCAAGGAAACAAGGAAAGGTCTATAGATGGGACGGGAGTAAGTTAGCTCACATTCTCACGTATAAAAAATAAACAGTATCAGCAATCTGACACATACTTTCACCCATTAGCTTGTCAACAACCTTTATCATGGGTAAGTGATGGAGCAACTAACTATACTATTTAATGGGTAAAATCATAAACGTTTCAATTCATTAACTTTTGAACCGTAATTTTCACAGGAAGATGCACTATTTTGTTTGGAAATAAGGACCATAACAGACGAATTTAAATCAAAATCTTTTTTATAAATCCTTTTATCTGGTTTTAATGGGTTTAATGGGAAAATAACATAAGCTACAATAACTTTTGAACCTCATTTTTACAGAAATGGGAGTCGTATCATTTTTTTCAGAATTTAAAGGGCTACAACAACATACTAAGTTTTTATCAAAATCATTCTGGCCATTTTTGAGGAAAATCCTATTTTTCTGTTATTTTATGGGCTTTTATGAGAAAATCTACATTAAAAATCAAAATTTAAAAAAAAAAACTAAAAAAACGCCTAGAGATATCATGGAATTATACATACATACCAAATTTAATCAAAATCGGACCACAAGTCCTTTCCAGGAGGAGCCAAAACAAAAATGTCCACTCAAAACTCAAACTCGAAAATTTTGACGAAAACTTTCTCCATATACCATGGTATAGGGGGAGAAAGTAAAAACCACACCTCATTTGATATAATCTTTATTTGAATATTCGTAACTTCATAGTGTGTATTACGAACAGTTTGGAGCTCCTGGGGGTTTCAAAAGATGGATTGATTGGGCTGGCTTCACACAAAACAATGAAAGTGGGGTAGGTCAAGTAATGCTCAGATATTGGATTGAGCCTCCCCTCCCCCCAACCCTTAAAACTCAAACTCGAGCCCTCAGTAAAGACGCGTCTGCCGTTTCGACATGTCACTACTATAGCGTAAGTATAATTGTATTAAGTACTGTTAAATTAGACACAATGTGTCTGAAACTGTCAAAAACTACAAAAAATTGCTTTTAAAAATGTTTTCAAACAGATTAAAACAATTTATTCCATATTCGATTGACTGTTGATTTAAGATAACAAGTAATAAAACTAAAAGTATGGAGGTGTAATTTATTACAATGTTTAATAAACTGTCCAAATGCTTTGGTAGCAAATCTAGAGAATATTTTTTGTACAATATTTTCAATGTTTATAAATAATCATTGCTAGAGGTACGGTACTGTGTCTACACAATCTACTGTCTGCCTTGTAGGTCTACACAAAATCAAGTGCAATCACGTGCAATAATGTGATCTAATGTTGCCTATGAGTGGCAGACATGAAGGCAGATATGGTGGATGTGTTTCTAGCACTCACAAATTATGAATATTGAACGTAGCTCTGTGAAATATTGAACTTAAGTATGATATTTAGTCTCAAATAGACTTAGAATATTGTAAACTATTTTACATACCGTAGATGCTAAAAAGGTGTGGTTATTTCATGTATATTTACAGAAATTGTGTTTTATTATACTGTATAGCGGGAAATGTTGGTAAAATTGTTATTTGCATTAAGGCCCAAAGTAAACTTCGAAAGGTCTCTCAACGTCTTGCTCTTTCTGAAAACCTGTTGCGTGGCCTACTAGTAGTGTTGATCGTAGATTCTACTTCCTCTTACAACTTTTATGTTTGGTTTTATTTTTGCTTTGAAGCCTCGTTCTAGAAACTTATTCCCAACTAGTAGGACTTGTGGATTTAATTTATTTTATTTTATTACACAATACGTTCTTTGATTTTTCTCTAAATTTAAATATTCAACCTCCAAAACCATTTAGTCAATTAGGATCCTAATAAATATGCATGTTTTTAATGTTGTATGATTTTGTATCACTCAACGGTATTTACTATTAGCATTTTCTGCAGTACAAATAGACTCAGCGACTCCTGCATTTTACACAATGCTTGTGATGTATTGCTGAAACCGGGGATTAATTATACTCCATAGTAAAATTATAATTAATATAATTATATAATTAAAATAATTATAATACACAGGATGAAGACAATTTTAACATTTCAAAGCATGTTTCTGTCAGGAAAATAGGTAGAGATTTTATATTTACTATTAATGAGTGAGTGTGTATATGAGATTCACAAGAGACAAAATGACACATAAAATACCCCCGCCGCAGAAAACCTGCAGACTAAGCGAATTTCCATTTGACTGATTGGATTTACACTGAAATGTCTACTTAAAAATATAACATTTATTCTCTATTTAAATAGAATTAGTTTAACTAGTACTTAGGTTTGCTGCATCAGGGAGGGTAAAACTGTTTTTTTTTTGTAAAACGTTAATAGTTAGTAAGAAATAAAAACATTTTCCAAATTTGATCAAAATATGTTCATAAACAAGCAAACTACAACAATTTACTTATTCTCCATAAGAATAACATGGCAATTTTAAATTTACAATTTTTTGGAATTTTCTCCGTAACCATTAGGCGCATAATAACGCTTCATTATACTAAATTATTTGTTTTTTTAAGCTCTACAAAATGGTTTGGAAAGAAATTGCAAAATTTTATGTTTTTTGGGTCAAAAATGGGAAAAACCTATTTTTACCCCATAAAACCCCCCGTAAACCCCCGTTCCCATGGTCCGATCATGCTGGATTACGAACTCGTTCGAATAAACGTAGGTTTACACGTTTGTACCAAATTTAATCAAAATCGGATCATTTTTGCTCGAGTTATCGTGCTAACGGACACACACACATATATATATATAAATACGAGAATTTTATATATTAGATATAAATATATACATATATATATATATGAATTTGAACGGATGGTGTTTTTGGCCTCTGGTGACCTCAAAACGAAAAAGTAAATCGGTCCCGAGTCTAGGTCTTACCATGAGACCTACGGTAATAGCTTATTCCCTATATGGGAAATTCGCTAAAAACAAAATGTTTACATAATATGCGTGTTTTCTAAGGTTCTCCCGCGTCGATGATAACCTAACAGTTTACAGTAGTAATTAACAGTTGTTTTCTTACAATTCGAAATATTTGTACAAAATAGTGTTGGTTTGATAGCAGCCAGAGTTCGACTTAGTGATGGAGTTAACTTCATCAACAAAAAGAAAACGGAATCCATGTTTTTTCATGCCCATACGTGACAAAGATTATTAAGATAGTTAGTGTTAGTTTACATTTGACTAGAGGCCATTTGTTGCTATACTTTCACTCATTCGATAGTAGCAATGAATACTTCACGTGACTCTTCCAATAAAAAAAAAAAACATTTTTTGTGATTTCCTTCAAATAAACTATGTTTATCACATGCCCCATGAAAAATGCTCTGGGTCAAGTATGGGGGGCTTAAGAAAATATGCTACAGATCCAACTTGTTTTCAAACTAGGCCTATAGTTTTATTGAATAAGATCGCCAATTATTATTTACATGCTACCAACACAGCGTTTGACGAATGTAAACAAAAACATTTGAGATACAGGTGGCATTGGTACGACGTATAAAACATTTTGATCTTTCGTATAACAGTTTCACAGAGCATTCAAAAATTATCTCATTAAACACTGTACTGTTATTCAATTACATAATTGCATTCAGTCTTTAAATCATTCACAAAACATTTAC